GGCGCCCCGGAGGCCGCTGCCCTGCGCGCGGCCTGGCCCGCGGCGAGAAGCTTCCCCGGACCGGGCCGGGCCGCGGCGCAGCCCGGGGGCCGGGCGAGGCTTCGCGCCCGCGGGGACGGTCCCGCCGCGGCCCCGCTCGGGCTGCAGTTTGAGCCTTTGTCAGCTCAGTGTTTGTTCGGTTGGTTTTTCCTCCGAAAGCCCCTTCCTCCCGCGAAGGCCCGCCTGCTGCGTTAGCCGCTGCCGTTGCGCGAGGAGGGCAGCGCGGGGAGCCGCGAGCATCCCCCGGGGCTGCGGCCGGGGCGGCCTCTGCCTTGGGCCTCCGCTGCAGGCTGCGCCCAGTGAGAGCCTGGGGAGATACGGAGAGGAAAAACCGCAGTGTATCAGCGCTGTGCCAGGGCGCTGTACCCATCTGTGCGTTTCTTAACGGAAAAAAGAGAAAAAAAGGTGGTGTCTATTTGAGATGCTAGCGCAGACTGTGCCATTTCACTTCAGGCCAAGTCACAGGGCTGTCATGTGGCAGAGTTTGTTTGCATAAAAATGAGATATTATCTCACCTGTTGCGCTCTTTTCCCCGCCTCAGTATAAATAGTGTTTCCTGTTGCAGCAGCGGTGTAAAAATCCAAAGTTAATGGCTGTTTGCAGTGTGTTTCCACAGTTTGTGTTCAACACAAAAGAGAGTCCTCCTAATTAATGCATCTGTTAAAATAACATAGAGCTCAGTAGCACAGGATGCAAGAGTAAAGTCAACTAAAGCAGCAGTTCTTACCACCAGTCCTTTATTTAGGCATTCATGTGGGTAATTCAATTTAGGGCCAACTATTGCACTGATGGAAATCTCTCTTGCAGCTCAACCTTGGTAGCTTTCAGTAGGCTGGTTAATAGAGATTCTAAGGGGAAGTGTTTTGGGTCCCTGGAATGCCTCAGGCTCTGCTGTTTTGGGATGCTTTGCACAGTTTATCGTAAGGTGTTTAAATGAGGCAGGTTTTCGGTTGGCTGGGTTATCACTAGTTTAATCTTCAGCGCAAATTTTTCTAGGGTAGAGGAAGCTTATAACTAGATAGCTCCCTGCACAAAATGAGTTAAAATGAAAGTTCTTTTTTTTTCTTTTTTTTTTTTCCTGTTATATTTGTTTGCACTAAGGCTTCTCCTGATCAGGTTTCCTGTTAAATCAGTTCTCTGACTACTGAGGATGAACATTGTATATTGTTTCTAGGGGACAACTCCCATAAACCTGGGAATTGTTTTGTGCTTCTGTATTGCATTAGTATGCTGCAGTTGATAGTAGAAAAGTATTCATATCAAAATGTAATATCAGGCAAGCTGTAGGTTTTTATAATGTAGATTATTACACAGCGGCAAGTTCAGGTGCTCATGCTGCTGTCCATCTAGCTCCACCAGCACGAGCAGCATTGTAGTGAAAACACAGCATATTCTTTCCCAGTTTAAGTGATGAGGAGGAGAAAAGGTACGGAGACGCATATGTCTTACATTGTTTAGCAATTTAAATTGTTTAGCAATGTCTTAAATTTTACAGCAATTTTTGGCTCTTCTCCTGTTCATTATTTCTGATACATTGGAGCTATCAATGGACTGTAGATCAGATGATGAAACATGGCGGTGAGGAGTAGGGTGAGCAGGGAAACGACTGTTTTGCCTTGAAAATTAAGGTGCAGCACATGAAGTTCCGCTCCTTGTTTAACTCAGATTTGTGTTATTCACAAATAATTCTGAATAAGCTTGATGGGTATGGCCAGAATGAAATTCCCTTCTGCTGGGGAAATCAGAGTAACAGGAGAGACAGTCTGGCATTAGAGCCGTCTGCCTTTGGACTTACGAAGGCATTGTATTGTATTTTACAAGGAAAACTTTTTGCAGTCAAATAGGATTCTCGTAAATGTTCTCATGCTTGTGAGAAACTTCATACTCAACTGAGCTAGACTGATAACTTAATTTTTTGAGGCACATTCATTTCCATAATCAGTATATTTTCTTGGGAACTGAAGAATATATCTGAAAATGGGCTGCAAGCATTTTTGTTGACCTTTAAAGAGGAGCATCTTGTATTTTCAGTAACAAGAAGATTGTTTCCAGGCTTAGCACTAGTAGTCTTTCAAACAGAAGTTTATGTTATGATACATACTGTAATGGAGATGTATATGCATGTACATATACATGTAAATGTATGACTTTTTTTGTAAGTTGGCATGACAGCCGTTTTGTATTATCTTCTCTGTATTGAGCTGTTAGAAGTTGCAAGTCATTTATCATAGAAAATTTCTAATGCTGCTTACTTGCAACATCATTATTTGGCCTTGGAAATTGAAGTCAGGCGTTTACAAAATCATTAAATTTTCAAACCACTTTATTATATGTGTAGTGCTGTTCATCACTAAGGAGAGTTATGTTTTTGGGCCAAGATTTAGAGAGGTGTTTTTCAACTACAGCTTACGTGCCTCTCGTTTACATCATTCCATGTAAAGACTAAGTTGTATATATATTCCTGAGTAACAATTGTGAAAGTAAAACAAATGTAATACTTCTCGAGAACTACTGTGTATTTAAGACCGTTTTGGCCTGGCTTTTCCACTTTACTCAAATAGTTTAGGTTATTATTTCATTTTAATATATTTATGTTAGGATAATGATTATGTCACTTGCCAGATTAAGCTCCCGTTTTGTTACTTTTTATATAGACATGCACTTTGGCATAGTTTGGTGTTTTCAAAATGATTTTTATAGTATAGTGTATGCCAAAGAGTGAAATATTTGATATATTTTATTCAAAGGAAATATGTAGAAAAGCATACTTTTCAAGATGTCAACTTTCATTATTCATTTAAAGCAAATTCTTTTCTGTTGAAGAATAAACTTTATTCTCTTTTAGTACTTTCCTTCAATCCTTTCAACTTGTATCCTATTTGAAGAGACACAAACATGAGGATGAGATTAATCTGCAGTTTAAATTTTATCTGTTCATATTTCATAATGAAATAATATTTTTTAAAAAAAGGAATCCAGCTATTCTTATAATGTTCAAGTTTATTCAACTTGATGTTTGTGCTTTAGTGAAGATGTTGATGCTTATAGTGCTTAAAATTTAAATTCCAGAAAAATGATCCTCCTTTTCAACTCAAGCTTCCACCCAAAGCAGCTAGACCCGAAAAAGAAATTGACCCAGAATATGAAGAGAAGATGGTAAGTGTGTTCACAGCAAAGCAGATGACAAGATGACTTTCACAAAAGTTTTCAATTTGTTTGCTTGAGCTAGATAGACACAGAGGCAACAAGAAACTATTGCAAGCAGAAAGAAGCAAAGGAGAAGGAATTGAAATTGGGAATGGTGTTATTAATACAATATGTAGTCCAGTTCTCCAGGTATTTGTGGCTGCATGATTTTCAGACCTGGAGGTCCTGTCATTACTGTCATTTGGTAACTGTAGTTGTCACTGGATTTTTTTTTCTGTATATTGTCTGCTTGGCTGTTTTTTTTAGTATCCAGATTTTCTGAATTATCGGCTGGGGTATATGGGGTGTATTTTATGGTATTCAGTGGGGAACCTCACTTAGCTTTGTTTACCAAGGCCATTGGCTATGTTTAGTTTCATTTAAAATGCTGCAGAAGAATTTGTTCTTGAGCATAAGATAAATGTTTCTTAGGGCCCACTCCCTCTTGCAGGTCACTACATATACAAGTTTCACTTGATATTACCATCTTATCAAAATTTCAAAACGTGCAAAAAGTCCAGTAATGGTTTCTAGGAGAGTTTTTCTAAAGGCAAGCGTATGTTTATTATTAAAAAAAAAAAAAAAAAAAAAAGGCTTTGTAAATACATTGCCCTCATGTGGCAAGCACATGCATTGCAGTGGTCAGTTTCTTTTTTAATTACCTTTCCTCTATAATAGACTGATTCATGTAAAAATATGTAAAAATTACTCTTTTTTTTTTTTTACAGAAATACCTTATATTATTTACATATTGCTTAGATTATGGCACACAATTACAATTTCACATTTGTAGTTTATGTATTAAGGAATTTTTCTGTGATCTCATTCATATCTTAGGTGATGTAGTTTCATTTTAGTGAAATGCATTTGCCTCATCGTTGCAGCAAAGCTTAAAATTTAAGTTTTTACTCTGAAAGCAAAAATCACTACCTTCAATGAATAGAGCTTGTATATCCATTATTACACTTTGTGTATCTATTGTTACACTTTTAAAAGCGGAGCTAGCACTATATATTTTTGGGTGTAATCCAAATAACCTTCAAACTGATAGAAGTTTTGTCACTGTCTTGGTCAAACCTAGAATTTCATCCCTTAATGTAAGTCAGAGCCTCATCTTTTTGTGGATCTTTTGTACAGCATCCTTGAAAGTGTCCTGTTACAATGGCTTTTGCATGACCTTTGTAGCCTCTAGCTGGCTAACAGGAGGCAATGATCTTGTCAGTCTTCACTCACATAAGTTATCCTCAGAGTCTTTTTCTTAAGAAAAATAAAATTGTTCATGAAGGAAAGTAATCCATCTTTTTCTTTTTTTTCTCCTCACTTTGGAAACCAGAAAGCTGATCGAGCAAAAAGATTTGAGTTCCTGCTGAAACAGACGGAACTTTTTGCGCATTTTATTCAGCCAGCAGCACAGAAATCGCCAACATCTCCACTGAAAGTCAAACTGGGACGGCCACGGATAAAGAAGGATGAAAAACAGAGTTTAATTTCAGCTGGGGAGTATGTTATGTTTTGATTTCTAACTTATACTTTCAAATAAATTATGCCTTTTACTATATTTAAATAATCTAAAGATTCCAATTTAAATACATTCAGAAGTTTTGAAAGAAATTATGGAACACTATTAATAGAAAAACATATTAACATATGAATTAGAGTATGTGTATTGCACCATCTGCATTAGTCTGAGTTTAAATTAGGAATGGACTTCTAAAATAGATTTCCTGATCATTGCTACTTAACTATGTTTTGGTAATGCACTGGAGTACATGGATTGAATTTCTTTTGGGTAGCATTAAAATAAAAGATGAACTCCAGAGTTGCATGTGATGTGCTCACACCACTAGTGAACATCTGATGGGGTCAGTCTAGGGCTAGACAAGTTAAAACAACACAGCATGGACATAGTAGGATGTTTGATCCTCAGCATCATTTGTCTTGCTGCACAATTTTGTCTTGTTCACTGATGTAGACACAGCTTGTAGGCATTTGAAGAGTCTATAATATCTAACAATCGGCTTTTGTTGAGTTTACAAAACAGCATTTTCTACTTTATCATTTTTTTTAAAATATATTTTTAGAATAAAATACTTCATTCTTCCAAATGGTATGATTATCAAGTAACTGATGCTAAGTTGGGGGGGGGGTGAGAATACCCTGTTACTCATTACAGAGTCTCTTAGAGAACTCATGATTCTTGGCAGAATATGGTCATGGCACGGGAGGAAGGGGCTGCATTTTGGGTATCATAATTAAAGCCAGAGTAAATTGTGAAAGAGTAACTCATAACAGGATATGATTTCTGCCCCAAATCAGTGTTCTAGGACATTCACAGTCATGTAGATCAACAGTTGTTTTTGTCCTAATTTGGCTTGTTTTGATTATTCGGTGTCTAGAAGTTATTTCATGCGCATCTCCATTTGGGATTCTTTCTGTAGTTATCGTCACAGGCGCACAGAACAAGAAGAAGATGAAGAATTGTTGTCCGAGAGTCGAAAAACGTCTAATGTGTGTATTCGATTTGAGGAATCTCCTTCATGTAAGTTTTTGATTGGCAATTTTCTGTTTACTTTGATTTTGTTAAAATCTGATGAACAGACTGCAATTAATTTTCTGCTTAGAATTAGTGTTTTTTCCACTTAGAGGAATCTTATATTTACAGATGTGAAAACAGGAACATTAAGAGATTATCAGGTTAGAGGGCTGAACTGGATGATCTCGTTGTATGAAAATGGTGTTAATGGCATTCTGGCAGATGAAATGGTAAGCAGTAATCTCTTTGTATTTTTGTGGAAACGTAACCATCCTTTACCATCCTTTTCTGACTTTTTTTCTTTATTTGTGTATTCTTCAGTTGTGCAATAACTTTTTACATGAACATGAATTGTCTAACTTGTACATAGATTAATCTTATAGTAGTAAACTACATGAAATTGTAATCTTTTTCAAGCAGTTATTATTTTGTTTAGATAAATAGTAGCTAATTGAGAATTTCTATTTGTAGTGTATAAAAAAAGTAAAGTCCTTGTGTGGGTTCTTTTTAGTTTGTGTGATAAGTTCAAAAGTAAAAAGAAATTTGTAAATTTTCTTTGACACTGCACAAAAGGAATAGAGCATGCAACATCGGTCAAGTCCAAGATTTTGGTGCTTTGATAAATACTAAAATATGTTCTGTAGAGTTAAAGCTGATTTGTGTAACTAAATAAGGCATGTAGTATACGTCATGGGTAGTGAAGTGTAGTAGTAGCAAAACTCAAACACTGAACTGAGAGCAAAGTTCAAACATTAAATTGCCTATAGTATTTCTTGTATATGCAGGAGTATGTATTGTTCTGCAACAGTTACATTTTCACTTTTTTTTTTTTTTTTTTTTTTTTTTTTTTTTTTTTTTTTTGTTCCGTCCTCCCCCTTCCTACCGTCTTTGTCAATGTAGGGTCTTGGTAAGACTCTGCAAACGATAGCGTTATTAGGCTATCTGAAGCATTACAGAAACATTCCTGGGCCACACATGGTTCTGGTTCCAAAGTCAACTTTGCACAACTGGATGAATGAATTTAAACGCTGGGTTCCATCATTACGTGCTGTTTGTCTTATTGGAGATAAAGATGCCAGAGTAAGTGCTTTACTTTTCAAAGATACTCTACATTATTCATCAGAAATGAATGTTTGGGAAAAGAGAATTCTCTTTAAGTTATCTCCTTAATTAGTGTTTTTTTTCCCAACAATCTTTAACATTAAAAAATGTTATATGTTATGAAAAATATTACATTCCCTGTTGTCTTCCTTTTTGACTTGTGTAACTATATTTTACATTTTTATTTTGTCTGTCTTTACATTGGGAAAGTGATTATCCATTTTCTTTTATTGCATTCACCTTGTTGCTTCTTTGCCATTCACTCTTTACTTTCTGTTTAGATGACTGCTTATGTTCTTTACTTGTATTGCACATCCAACCGTGGCCTTGTCAGCAGGATTGTATTATAGTTTTTGAGGCTTTCCATCTTTCATACTGAAAGCTTTAAATTAGATGTAGGATATTGTGCAGCAAGCTGGCTGTTCCCATGAATCTTATGGTACCTAACATATTTTGCAATGTTGCCTGTGAGGATCCATTCTGCCAGTGATTCAAGTACTTCCTTCTAGTGCTATATTCGTAAATTTTATCCAGTCTTTCCAATCATTAGTGATTTTAGGCTTGATAATATCTGTACCACAGTTGCTGAATCACATCTACTGCTTATTGATAGTTCCTTCGGAGCATGGAATGGGGAGCATGGATTTTCTTTGCTTTCAGAATGTTATGTATGCATTATCATAATTTCTCATTGCTTATTTTTCCTCTTCATCTCTCCATGTTCTGTAGTGACTAAAACATGTCTGAGTTTATGTTTGCGTTAATAAAGCAGTGCGTAGTAGTGTTGTAGAGAGCAACACTTTATTAGGCAGTTCTTGGGGAATTTGGGAATTACTAGACCAGTCTGGGCTTTTAGTTAGGATGGGCCAGGAAACCTCCTAAATAAATTCTTGGATACCTGCGTGTTACGACCTTTCCAAGGGTGATATTCTGTCATATGCATACTTTTAGGTATTTGTAAGTAAATAGAGATGAGAGAGAGAGAGAGAGGGGAGGGAAGACTTCAGGCAGGAGAGGAGGTGGGAATAGATTTGGTGAATCGTTCTGAAACATTCTTTTGTAGAGTTTGGATCCCTGGAAGATACAAGTTCAGAGGGGTTTATTTACCTTACCAAAGCTACTGATCTGTTTGTGCCTAGAGTGCAGAGAATCGAATCTTTTGTTAATTTATCTTAGTTACATAAAAGATGTTTCAGATTTTTCTTTTGTTCTGTCTGATCCCTCAGTAATGTTGGCGGAGATGTTTCACTGAATTCCAAATAAATTGTTCCTTTTTGTAAGTAGCCTTTAATTGATTCAACTGTTTTCTTTAGGCAGCTTTTATCCGTGATGTTATGATGCCTGGGGAATGGGATGTTTGTGTTACATCGTATGAAATGGTCATTAAGGAGAAATCTGTCTTCAAAAAATTTAACTGGAGATACCTGGTAATAGATGAAGCTCACAGAATAAAGAATGAGAAGTCCAAGGTAAACTCAAAATCTGCCAAAATCATTGGAAATCTTTTGTGTTCTAGTATTTTTAAAATACAAAATAATTCTGAAGTGATAGGAATTGTATACATTATGGATAGGTCAAATTCCTTTTTTAATATAAGCAATAAGGTTGTGAGTGATAAATATTAGAGGTAGCTCTGTCTTCAAATTGAGCTGATATGGTTCCAGGCTGCAGAAACTGATTAAAGCTTACTATGTTTACACTGCATGTTATGATAATGATGACTATTTGTTGTTGTATTTTAAGCTGTCAGAAATTGTGCGGGAGTTCAAGACAACGAATCGATTGCTGCTTACAGGAACTCCTTTACAGAATAACCTCCATGAGCTGTGGGCATTACTCAATTTTCTTTTGCCTGATGTCTTCAATTCTGCAGACGTAAGTTGAAGTTTGAAAGTAAAATCTTGTCATTTTGATACCAAGGACACTTTCTACAGAGAAGAATGACTTGCCAATTAGAGATGTATAATGTGGAAGACCTGGTTTCAGTAGAAACCCTGTGACTTACCTAACTAGACAATTTAATGCTTTATCTAGTTGAAATAGTATATTAGGTTAGTGCAAGAATTACACAAAATAAAGCAAACTTTGGGAAATCAATGCAGAATGAAACACAAAAAGCATCCAAATAAGTGTAAGCATTTTTTCACTTAGGATTTCCTCCATTTTTGAGTCATCGTTCTATTTTTGTTGTCCTTATATTGCTCCTGTTCTTTCTGCTGTGTTTTGCAACTCACTTCTTAAGGATTCTGCTTTCTTTTTGTACCCTCTTGCCTGAAGAACTGAGATACTGTAGTGTTGAACATGAAATATCATTGGAAATGGAACAGAGTAACACCATAACTGTATTTTGTCAATGGAGTTATTTAGTTGACTTGAGTTCTTATGTGTTGTGCAGCTGACACAGAGCTGTGGCTTATTTTTTCTTCACTGATAGATGGTATAGCTCTTAAGATTAATGCTGCTTTCTGCTGGAGTGAGTGAGAGTCTATACATATCTGTTAGAAATAGAGATGTTAAACTATTGATTCTAGTTGTGCTTTTTCCCCACAGGATTTTGACTCATGGTTTGACACTAAAAATTGCCTCGGTGATCAGAAACTTGTAGAAAGACTTCATGCGGTAAGTAATTAAAGCTATAATCATGCATCATTGTTAGTATGCACAATGTAAAAATAAAAGCAGACTGTTTTCCCCCAGCTTCATGTCAGACAAAATAGATAAAATGAACGTGAATGTGTTTTGTTATAGAAATGCCTAACAGAACTTTTATGCGTAAAATATCAGAAATTACTCTGCAGTTGCTCCTTCATGCAACATTGCTGTTTGAAGTGGTCAAAATTATAGTGAAAAAGGAAGTTTTGAGAGTTACTCAAAGTGATTTATTATCCTGAATAGTATATTGATAATGCTAGCCTGAATAAATAAATACTATGTCTTTCCCGTTGTTTTGCTGTGAGTGAAATCGAAGTAGCATTTCTTTTATCGTGTAGTAATAAAATTGAAATCAGAAGGAAGTGCAACATTTCTTATCTTTGAAGTGTTGGTGTAATTCGAAAGGGAATATATTGATTTACAAGTTTTTCAGGCCTCATTTTTCAGTCTGTAGCAGAATGGTTCTGAGGAGGTCACCATAAGAGCAATAGCTATTGCTTAGTTTTGATGAATAAGTGTTCCAGAATTGAACCTGTTACAATTGTAATTGAGACAATCGATATTCTGAAACTATCTATGGAAATACTCTTAATTCGTGTAGGTTTTGAAGCCATTTCTCTTGCGTCGCATAAAAGGTGAAGTAGAAAAAAGTCTGCCTCCTAAGAAAGAAGTAAAAATTTATCTTGGACTTAGCAAAATGCAGAGGGAATGGTAAGTTACTTACCTTATAATAAGATTCTTTTCTGATGAAGAACAGAGCAGTTTTTCTTATTGAACTGCTCTTCTTTTCCTGTTGTGTGTCAGGAAGAGAGTTGTCTTTGGGGTTAATTTTTTCCCCTTTTTTATTTATTTATTTTTTTAATCTTTTCTCTTTAGTTGCACTAGTTAGGAATATAATGAAACATGTTGGGTGAAGGATGGAGTTTTTTTTCGATCCCTTCCTTTAGTTTATTTGAAAGAATGTATACCTAATAAATTTCATTCCTTGATACAAGTAGGTATGCATCAGTAGAAGTCTCAGAGTTAAAAGTAAAATAAAACCGTGAAAAGCCACATACCCATAAGAGAAGCAAGAAAAGGGCTTTTTCATCTATGTCTTTATGCACATCCCAGAGTCAGGTCAGTGTAGCAGCTTTGGTCAAATCTGTGGTAACTTAATTCACTCCATAATCTTAAAAGAGAAGGAAAACCTAGTGAAACAGTGATCAGTGTCTTTCACTGACAGATTGCTGTGCAATTTAGGTGACTTTCATAAATCCTTAGTATCAGTCATTTATTTTCCCCAAGTAATATAATATACCCCAGTCTTCATGTAAACAAAACAATCTTCTGCTTCTAGATTAAAAAAAAAAGTAATTGAGACACTTCAGGGATTCTCATGTTTGAAATGTGAAACGAAAGTTTGTTAAAATATGAAGAGAAAGTTGTTCAAAATTGTCCATAAAACTTCAGGTATACCAGGATTCTGATGAAAGATATTGATATCCTAAATTCAGCTGGGAAAATGGATAAGATGCGTCTGCTGAATATTCTGATGCAGTTGCGAAAATGCTGCAACCACCCCTACTTATTTGATGGAGCTGAGCCTGGCCCTCCTTATACCACTGACACACATCTCATCACTAACAGTGGTAAAATGTTAGTTCTGGATAAACTGCTAGCAAAACTCAGAGAACAGGGTAAGTACTATCTGTGAAGAGTAATAATCAAAATAGCAATCATAAGTAAAAATGCACTTTAAAGCTTTCATAGATTCATCCTTCTCTTTCCTGCAGTGTGGGCATTCATTACTTTCAGTGGGGTTTTGATTCAGAAGACGTTTTTTGTAGAATCTTTTTAATAGATGGGGAGAAGGAAGCCGTACAGGAATGGTAAGGAAGCCTAATGATACAGGGAAGTGAAGAATGCCATCCTCAAGACGATTTTTGATAAGAGAAATAGTTTTCTGTGCACATCAATCATCAGCTGCTTCCCATATTTTTTAACTTTTCTTTAGTTGTGTAGTTGTTCTGTGGAAAAAAACAAAACAAAATAACTCATCTAGAATGGAAGTTAAGTCAGAAAAGTGACTACAAAAGAAAGACCTTTTATGTTAGGCATAGTCACATAGTATAGGGTATTTTATATGGATTCTTTATTCATACCCTGTAGTAAGATGAATGTAAAAGTATAAAAGCGTCAAAAAAAATCTTATCTTCTGTGTTGTTCTATCAGGTTCCAGAGTTCTACTTTTTAGTCAGATGACTCGCTTATTGGATATTTTGGAAGATTATTGCATGTGGCGTGGATATGAGTACTGCCGACTAGATGGACAGACACCACACGAAGAGAGAGAGGTGAGAAAGCTGTATAAGCATGAAATGTATGTATCAGATGATTAAGAAGCTGTGAGTAGCTATATAACTTTCTAAAATAAAGCAAAAAATGCTACCATTTACAAGGACAGCAAAGGATATATTATTTTCCTAAATAAAAGGTCATCGTAGAATAGAATTCATTTCCATTTGTTTCTCATCTCTTTGGAATAACAATGTTTTGCCTACTTGGATATTTTTTTTCTTTCTTTTTTTTGGCATGTGCAAAGCTACTGTTTCTGATATGAAAATTCCATGAAAAGTCAGCAATATATTGGAAACTTGTTTGAAAACTAATGCTATAATGAAACTTTTTTTTTTTTAAAGGAAGCAATAGATACCTTTAATGCTCCCAACAGCAGTAAATTCATTTTCATGCTTAGTACCAGAGCTGGAGGTCTAGGAATTAATTTGGCAACAGCTGATGTGGTTATTCTCTACGATTCAGACTGGAATCCTCAAGTAGACCTGCAAGCCATGGTGAGCTAGCTTCCTTACATGTTCCCTAAATTTACCATTGTTCAATTTTGTTTAATTATTCCTGGCATTCTTGTTGTTTTTTTATCTTTTGTATTTGAAATAACACACCGAAGAATTGAATGAAAGGGCACAGCCACAATTGGGAAAAACTCTAAATTTCTTCCTGTAAATATTTTTTGTCTGTTTTTAAAACTGATTCAGAAAGCTTCTGTCAAAATGCTCTATAAGTATGCTTTATCCATAGAATTGTTCTTTATTCAGTCTTTCAGGTGTGTAACAGTAAATGACAAAGACAGGGCTCTTCCCAGAGTAATAGCAGTGTATTAGAAGCCTGCTGCTTTCCTACCCTTTTGTAAAGCTTATGATTGTGCAAACCACATAGTTTCTACACAGTTTCTATGCGGTGGTAGAGCTAGGGATAAGAAATCCTTGACTTTGGGTTGAGCTTCCTGAAGTACTCTCTGGAGTACTGAGAAGTTTCTAAAATCAGTGTCTGTAATTTGTTTCATGCAGAATAAAAATGCCATGTTGCCTCTTGGATGACTGAGTTGAATTTTACTCTCTTCTTGTGTCTGCTTTTTTTTTTTTCCCTTCGTTCTTCCTTCTAATATCCTTAAATATCTCAATCTGTTATTTAGAGTAGATCATCTTTCCTTCAAGATGCATGTGCTTTACCAAGTGTAGAGCAAATTCCTGAGAACTGATTAGCATGATCTGTAAGGTCTAATAGACTTCTAATGAAGAAGAGTGTTAAATGAATGTTATACAAGAGAATGCAAGAGTTTACAACTCATTCAAAGACTAAAATCCTGGTATCGTCAGTACAATGACTTGCTGATTTTTATTTCTCTCTTTTTAGGAGGACAAAATATTTTTGTTTATATTTTCCAAAGTGAATAGCTACAACTTTTGGTGCAAATAGGAACATTAGTTATCAGACCTGATTTGCTCTGTGCTGCACCTGTAAGGGATGATCCGCAGACTGGTGTTTCCATGTAGCTGTCTTGGAACAGCTGCAATATTGAAGCCCTGGCCACATGCACTCTGCCTATGAAATAAATATTCTGAAGTCAGGCCTGCCAAACCCTCATACTTTTCTCATTTGAGAGAATTAGTTTGAATACAGTGCAGGTGTGTGTGTGTGTGTGTGTGTGTATGCATTGCGCATGCACACACATAAAAATGTATATGCCTCTGTATATATGTACACACACAGTATGTATGTGTGCTGTTACTGCACTTCCCAGTTGCAATCTAGACAGACCTTTGATTATCTTCATTTACAGTGAGGTAGATGTATTTCAATAAAATAACCTAAATCTAAAATATTCTTCTGTCCTTGTTATAAGTATATGTAACTATACCGATGTTACCTGTATTGTGCCCTGTCAAATATGCAAGGAAGCAAAAAACCTATGCTAGTTTCAATCTGATGTTTCTGCTATATAGCAACTTATCTGTCTATTGCCTGTGAGTTTTTATTACTGAATACTCATTAATTTATGTTTGTTAGGATCGTGCGCATCGTATTGGTCAAAAGAAACCAGTACGGGTGTTTCGACTAATCACTGATAATACTGTTGAAGAGAGGATTGTAGAAAGAGCTGAAATAAAACTGAGACTGGACTCTATAGTTATACAACAAGGTATCAACTGCTATATATGTTTGTCTGCAACAGAATTTGGTTCAGTCCCTTAAAGCATGCATTAATTAACTGCAGGAATACAGTATGAGACAGCACAGGCCTCGTTTATAATAGCAGTACTCTATATTTATCTCAAGAGTATCGCATATAAATTACCTGTTCAGGTGAAATGTCCTTTGAAAGAAGGGTTAGTTTTTGTAAGTTAAGAGTATGGTTTTAGGCTCTAAGAATCTAAATGAGAAAGGCAAATTACTGTTAAATAGATGTGAACTGATTTATGTGGTATATTTACCAAAAATAGTAATAGGTACTAGAGCAGTTGAAAAGAGTTATATAGATGTGGTTCTTACTGTACTGCAATTTAATGATGTTTGAAGCTCTTTTGAAGTTAATTTATCGAAAGCCAAGATTATCAAGCTGAAGACTGTGAAGATTGTGAGTTGCATGACAGTTTTCAAAGGGTTGGGTTGCTGAAAGCGTGGTGGTCAGAAGGCTCTGTGAAGAGATGAGATAGCAGGAGTGAAATGTTGAGTGGGAAAAATGAGAGTTTTGAACAAAGTGAGAGTATTCAGACATTTTGTTTGAAATCAGCAGAGTAGCTGTTCATTTTGAGTGAAGAGCTTATTGCTTTGAGTTATCTGAAAGTGAAACACAATCTTTGTTTTGGCTTGACCTTAAGTTCCCCCATGCCATTCTCCCCTCCTCAAAGATCCCATATCTCCATGGTATCTGGAGATACGATGTTCAGCACAAGTGAAATTCAGATTTGTTTCCGTATGATTCTGCTTTGTGTTTTTTCTTTTTTCCTTTGCCAGTGAACTGAAAACAAAATCCGCTGTATGGACCTACTGGAATTTTTATTTTATAGTTTTCAACATATTTCTTTTAATTTTAGGAAGGCTTATTGACCAACAGTCTAACAAACTGGCAAAGGATGAGATGTTGCAAATGATCCGTCATGGAGCCACACACGTCTTTGCTTCTAAAGACAGTGAGTTGACAGAAGAAGATATAACTACTATTTTGGAAAGAGGTGAAAAGAAGGTGAGAGCAATGTTGTGTGGAATTTGAAATACACATCAGATAACATATATTTTGTACGTATGTTTAAAAAAGAAATAGAGGGCAAGAATAATTAAATAAATTTGCAAATATATTTGCTTATGTCCAACTGTTATTTTACAGTTGGTAAATATTTTAAAGGCTATGGAAGCATAAGGAGTAAAAGAAGTGAATTGTAATGACTTTCAGTTGTTTGGACTGTGGGGAAAAAATGTGCACGTTGTCCTCAGTGCTGTTTATTTCATGGCATGGGCTTTTAGAAAGATGTAAATTTTATGCCAGCAGTTTTAATAGACAAACCACCTCTATGGAACTTTAATAGAGAATAGGTTGCTCTATGGAAAAATGAACTGCCCCTTCATTTCTGAAGAGTTGGACATAAATTTCAGTTAACTTTAGAAGTTAAATCATACAGATGTACAGGGTGTATGTTAAATCCTATAGCACTATCTCCCGGCATAGTAAAATTGGTTTAATGGAGTTTAATGGAGTCAGGTTGTTCAGGGTGGAAAAGTGCTGTGGATTTCTTTCCTGCTTAACACAGAAAATTGGAAAGATTGACATAGAAGAGAGGGAGAATGTTTTAGTAAACTGAAGCAAGCTGTTTTTCCAGGAACTGGTGAACATCTTGTGTGAGTCTAAATGTAACTTTCTATATTCTAGACAGCTGAAATGAATGAACGATTGCAAAAAATGGGGGAGAGCTCTCTAAGAAATTTCACTATGGACACAGAGATGAGCTTATATAACTTTGAAGGTGAAGATTATAGAGAAAAACAAAAGGTAATTTTTCTCCTAAAGTCAGGCATTACAGACTGGTTTAGAGGCTCAAAGACCATGGTTATGCTAAAGGAGTAGAAAGCCAGTGGCTTTTGAAGTTTTCATTTGTTAATTGCAGTACACCCTGCAAAGCAATTATCTTGTATGGTTAGTTTGTTCTCTGTACTGCTGTCTGTTGCCCTATATCTATTTTCATAAATATTTTCAGTGCAAGTTTCTTAACAATTTCAAAGAAACATTTAAAGAAACAAAATATTTAATGAGAATAAAGTATGTGTATATATGCTTACCTATGTGCTTGTTTGTTTTCTTGTAAATAATTTATTAAAACAAGCCAGATAAATACAGCATGGTGTTGAAGCATGTTTTAGTAAGCTTAAGATGTAGTCACTGCTATCTAATGTGTTTTTTTTTTTTTTTTTTTTTTGTTAAAGCAGTAGTACTGTATAAGTTATTCATCATGATTTCTAGAGAAGTAATTCTTTCACTGTAGCACGTTACAAAATTTGAAGTCTCTGGCCTTCAGTGGGATTTGGGTAGACAGAATAACTGCCTCACCAAGATGTCTAAAATGTACAGAACACAGCGTGGGGGTACCCACGACACTGGAAGATCAGTCCTCACTTCCTGCTCTACTCTTGCATGTTTTAATACATGTAATAATGTGCCTTTCTAGCTTATTCTTGAGTTTTGTTGTACGGTTCATATTGGTGAGTGGAGCAGCAGATTGCCAATGAAATATACCTTTCTGTTGGAATGTTTCATCACTCAATAGTTGCTGTTCTTTTAATGTGTTTTACTTCTGTGTTTAGCTGAGCATGATGGAATGGATAGAGCCTCCAAAACGAGAACGCAAAGCTAATTATGCAGTGGATGCTTATTTTAGAGAAGCTCTGCGTGTTAGTGAGCCAAAAATTCCCAAGGTAAAAAGTGGGGGGACACTTTTTCCCCCCATATCTTATTTTTGGTCATTTCCTCTTCCTTATTGCATGCTCTACTTTCAGAACTACTTTTTTAGAACTTTATATTTCTAATAAAATTAACATGTCTTGCAGAGCGTTATGTTGCCAGTTTGACAGTAAAACTGAATTAATATGTCTCTGTATCTCTAAATTAATATAACAGAATTAATATGTCTCTGTATTTTTAAAGGCTCCACGACCTCCAAAACAACCAAATATTCAGGATTTCCAGTTTTTTCCCCCACGATTATTTGAACTTCTGGAAAAAGAAATTCTGTATTATCGTAAAACTATAGGATATAAGGTAACTTTTAATTAGTGACATATATTTCAATTCTGTATAGATTTCCTTTAACCTCAACAGGAGCTAATTTAAAGTAAATGATGTCTGAATAGTGTATCGTTCTGGTTTTATCTTGCAAAATGTTTCCCATTTTGATATAAAATGGCTTAGAAATTCCTTCTGTGCTATGTAATTTATATTAAAAAGTGATATGAGCAAGAGTGACAAATCAGTGTTAACTAAGGTAAGATCGCCTTCAAAAGTATGATTTTTTTCGTGATAGCTTTCATGTTTCTCGCACAGAACTTAATACTTAGTTATTACAGTTAATACTGAAGTTGACAGTGTTGGTGTGATGGTAAGCAATATAACCTCAGTTTCCCAGGCATTTTTGGATAGCATAAAATATATATTAGTTTGAATATATTAATATATATGGTAGTTCTGAGAAAAAGAAAATTCCCCAAATGCAGTGTATTTCTACAGCACAATATGAACTATCCAAATACATTTAATCCAAAATTCTATGTTTATTAACTGAAGTGAAAGATCACGGACCATGAATCTCCATTTATCTTTCTACTCGGAGTAATGACTAAAATCACAATCACAGTAAATGTCTTGTGTGTGAACATGCAGAAATTAGTAAAATAATTCCTAGGATAATTTCAGTTTCAACCTCTACGCATGGACGAAGAACTAGCAGAGGCCTTTTTTTTCCCAAGATGTGTAAATTAATTCCTTTTAGTTTCTATCTCTAACAGCTTTCTGGGAAGAGAGTGGGTGTAGTTTTTTTTGTATGCTTTCAAGTCTGAATTGGCACAATTTGAAGACATTATCCTCTCTCTGGATTTTGAACTGAATTGTAGTTGGATAGAAGGGAGACTTTACAGCTACGATATATCTTTTTAAAGTATGGAGATGATTTATGCTATTTAAATAACTTCAGACTCCAGAATGTATTTAGAGAAGTTGCTGACTACATTTGATCATAAATGCATTTGTAGATACAAATTTATAAATGTATAAATGTGTCGTAATTTAAGTAACACAAATGCGAGCTTTTATTTTTTTTTTTTTCTGTGGGATATAAGTGTGCTATTTAGCTCAACTTCTCTGATAGTTTATTTGGAATCTTAAATGCTGAAAATCCATTTTCTGCTACAGAGTATAATGAACAACCCGCTTTGCAATTGTTTATGAATATATAAAAAAGTAATTGACCTGTAATAAAGACTTGAAGTCGTCTTTCTTGGCAGTGTGGCTTTGTAGGTAACTGATTTTGTGTGACCTGGCAGGTGGTTACATCTTTTATTTTGTGTGCTATCATGTTTAATTTGGCACTCAATATTTCTTCGGAAAGACTGTTAAAATTTCAATTGTAAATATGGACAGAAAACTGCCTTTCTTGCACACTGCTATAACTTTTGTCATAGTATTTATAGAAGAGAAAATAGTTTCTTATATATAGTTTCAGATTTTAGTTTTTGTTTCAGAACAAAAGTTTAGGAAATAATTTGAATAGCTTGCCTGAATGTTGTAATTCAGTTCTGTTAGACTATCTGTCAGACAAAATTCATCAGGTTAGACAAATTGCCATGGTTCTTGCGATCTTACAAATCTAATAGGACTGTTTACTGGTGATAAAAATGATAGATAAATGCGTGCTGCTTAGAAAAGGGAGTATAATTTCCATTTGAAGAGAGTTTGTTTTTAAAATTGAAGACTGCCTTAAAAACAATATGAATGATTGATAGACCAAGCTCTACACGTGACATTATTAACATAATCCACTGAAAACAAGACCATTTCCTAGCTAGGTCTCAACCTTAATTCTTCCCTTCCTTGTGCCTTGTTGCTGCAGAAATACCTGCCGTCTGCAGCATCGCTGGCGAATGCGGTGAAGTAGCTGCTCGCGGGCTGGGAGTCATCTCTACCCGAGAGGGGGTCTTTGACCCAGCTTCCAAATCAGCTGCCCAGAGAGTGGCAGAGCAGAATTTCCATGACCTTTTTGTCCCTTTTTGAGCATTTTCCTTGCCGTCTTTGCAGGCCTCAGGGCTGTTTGGATAGCCAGGGTTTGGGATGCAGCAGGCGCCTGCCCCACCGGGCTCCCACAGGTCACAAATACTTGATTGCTGCCAAGACGCACAGAATATGGTTAGGCCTGGCTTACTGTACATATCATCATAGTCTGGCCTTTAAATAGGCAGTGTACGTAGCTTTTAGTAAATCTAGTAACCTTAGTATTTCACCCTAGTTATATCCAACAGATTATAATTTATTCTTTATAAGAGAGCCTATGATGGCTTAAGCAAGATGAGAATCTGCCCCTTATAATATCCATGGGTTCTTCGATGGGTGGTAGGAGCAGGACATAAGAATGATAACAGACATTTGACAAAATCCAACCCTGTTTTTGTTGCGAAAATTTAAGCAATAAGATTCAATTTAGTAATTGTTGGGAAAATTGCTCTGTTCACAGTAGGAAGAAGATAATTGTGACAATAGTGTTTGCTTTACTACTTAATAGTTTGAAAATGTATTCTACCAGATATATTCTCTATATCTTTTTCACTCAAGCTTCTTAAAGTGAGTAGGAGCCTTTTGTTACTGATGGATGACACTGAACATTACACTTCAAAGCTTGTCACACAAGAGCAAACAAGCTCATCTGAATGATTTTAGTATTTGATACATCAGTTTTTCTAAAAGAATAGTTTAAATTTTGCAGCAGTTCTGTAGACACTGAGGAAAATCTTCAGTAGTATTTTAAATATTTTAAACAAGTTTTGTATCTTCAGAGTAGTCAAGTTAGGAGTTATTTTGTTTTCTGGTTTCTTCTGTTTTATTTGTTTTGTAAGAGCACCTACTTGAGTGTGTGAACTGTGCCATTTCTATGAGTTTTAACATGTGTTTATAAATTGTAAGGCTTTAAGGAGCTTTACAGTAAGCTTTATAGAGAAATGTCTTTTTAATAACAGTTGTGCTACTGCTTATCGATATCACTGCTGCTCATCATAGGTTCCCAGGAATCCTGACCTCCCAAATGCAGCTCAAGTGCAAAAAGAAGAGCAAAAGAAGATTGATGAATCTATGCCTCTGAATCCTGAAGAAACCGAAGAGAAAGAAAAACTTCTGACACAGGTAAAAAGGAAAGAGCTGAATTATATCAGTGTGTGTTTTCTAGTACTATGGAGCATAAATCCACAGTACTAATTATACTATGTTTGTGCAGGAAGGCTACATTGATGTTACAGAAATTACAGAGCATGTCCGTGCCAGATGAAGTGATTTTTATCTTGTTTTTGCTTTGAGAGACATGTCCTGTCCTCAGATGAGTTTCCATTTCAATCAGCCGCCATTTCCTTGAATGTCAGCAACAATTCCAAAGCCAAGACTTGTCTAGTGGATGCACAATTCAGTGCATGTGCCAGTCAGTGACATATGCCACTCAAATGTGCACCTGGAAGCATATATCAACATACTGCATTTGCACAGCCATGAAAGATATTGTGTCACATCCTTTAATTTTTGTGCCAGTTCTGTTAGGCATGCTCCTTTTCCATTGATTCTGAATCCAGAGCATTGGCTATTTCAGTGATATATATATTTTTTAACTGTCCTACTCAGTTGACTTGCTAGAAGTTACATAGTAGGAGAAAGATCTTGTTGGTTTAAGTAGTAGATTTTTTTTCTTTTTTTTTCTTTCTTTTTTCTTTTTTTTTTTTTTTTTTTTAGATTGAGAAACTTTTCCTATAAAAGAATCAGGCTTCTTGCTTCTTGAAGACATTTGCAAGGCCACTGTTTGACTCTTCATTTCTTTTGTTGATAGCAGGGGAAATACTTAAGCTGGTGCCAATATGCATGCCAGTATTGCTGTTAATGTTTAAAAAGAAATATTTGTATTGTGGAGGTTGGATGTCTTGTAACAATGCCATCTAATTGTGGACTGAGCTTGTTCAGTTGGAGAACTGACAGACTTCCTTGTAAATATATTTTTCTCATGAAAGAAACTCGGTGCATTACAAACTGCTACTGAGGCATTTGTTTATTCTTGATGTTTTCTCCTTTTTCTGTCCTTAAACTGTAAAGTCTCATTCTTGCATGATGTTTTCATGCATTGCATCTCATTTAACTGTTGTTCACTTTTGAGTTCATTTCTTCTGTACATAACATATTTTCTGTTTGACAGTACTATGGTTGTTTCCATTTGATTGCATCTTCTCAAACTAAAGATTATTTCTTAAAGTATTTGTACTGTCATCCAAGTGTGTATATTTTGTTCAATGTTTATAAATACTCCAGACAGCTATTGCCTTGAATACTTGTACTGCTCTGAAAACTTGTATAGATGCCTGCACTGGTGCTCCTTATACTCCAAAGATTTCATTTTTTCTTGCTTCTGCTGAAGCATGGCAGTAACTTGCCATTAAGCTCGTTTCTTTGGAGAAATAGCACATTTTTTTTTCTAAAGATACTATGAAATGCTAATACTAATGCATGAGGAAACATGCCCAAAGATTACTCTAAAGACGTTTTTATGACTCGCTAATAAATCCTGGATAATAGAAGTTTCTAGAAATCTTGAAAGGCTGTTACTGTAATTGTGTGAATTATGCAGAAGTGTTACCAATAGGAGGGAAGGATACATATGTAAGAAATTCTTTTCCGTTCAACCCAGTAGTGATTTTGATCTCGTCTTGCTTACAGGGTTTTACAAACTGGAACAAAAGAGATTTTAATCAGTTTATTAAAGCTAATGAGAAATATGGGCGTGATGATATAGACAATATTGCCCGTGAAGTTGAGGGCAAGTCACCTGAGGAAGTCATTGAGTATTCAGGTTTGTGCATATTTTGCAGTGCGTCTTGTAAAATCATGTGGTATCAGCATCATTTTTACTATATTTTTTTTTTCAGAACTGTAAGATGGAGATTTTAGAAATGCATTTGAAGAATTTAGAAAAGTTATCTGATGATTCCTTTTAGAAGACTTAGTTCTGTTGAAAAGGTTAAATTTGCGACATATACATCTATCTTCAAATGTCTTTCTCTTGTAATGATAATTTAGAACATGGCATAGTTAATTTATGTTTGCTACAGTCTTTTGGAATCATGAAGCCACTTCGAAATGGCAACATGCTTTATGCTGTAGGTACTGTCTTGTAGCTTATCCATTATATCCTTCTCTTTGGTATTTCTGCGGTACTCATTTTCAACTTGTTCTAAATTCTTATTTCATCCTTAGATTTAATTTTACTAAACTATTATTTTTTTTCCTTTGCAGTACTCAATTATGCCTTAAAAAGAAGCAATTGCACTAGAGTTCACTGCAGTTTGTCGAATTTATTAGTGTTATGAGGCATGGTTTGTTTAATGCTACTGTTGGGCTACCAGTTTTAACTTATTTTGCCATTATTAAGGCAAACCATCATTAAAATAATTTTTTTCCAGTTTGTATATGACAGTATTAAGTTATATATTGAACTTAAAATTTAAGTTGCTGCTAACTTCTAGTTAACGTTTGAATTGAATGAACATTAAATAAAGGTCTGGGCAAGTTTAACTACTGCAGTAAACCAGAGAGCATTAGCAAATCTTCAGAATTTAATGGAAGTGCAAGCTGCATTTTTCTTTTGATAAACAGTGCTTTAACAGTAAAGGAAAAGCTTTTGTTTTACAAGTTGTGTTTTAATTTTTTTTAGCTGTTTTCTGGGAACGTTGTAATGAACTGCAGGACATTGAGAGGATTATGGCGCAAATTGAACGAGGAGAAGCAAGAATTCAACGGAGGATCAGTATCAAAAAAGCCCTTGATGCCAAAGTAATCTCTTTTTTTTTCTTTTTTTTTTTTCCCACTTTCTCTCTTTTTGGTCAGTTTTAGAGCTGACTTCTCTCTATGCCTATAGTTACAGTTGGAACTATCTTCCAAACGCTTTCAGAAAGGGAATAATTGGATGGGAATGTTATCTTTTTATATGGGTACCATATTTCAGTCATGTACGTGTAGTAAGTCCTTGATGTAATATGTCTGATAGTCTATTCTTGTTTTGCATTCAGATTGCAAGGTATAAAGCACCTTTCCATCAGCTGCGTATTCAGTATGGAACAAACAAAGGCAAGAATTACACAGAAGAGGAAGACAGATTTTTGATATGCATGCTACACAAGATGGGCTTTGACAAAGAAAATGTGTACGAGGAGCTAAGGCAGTGTGTGCGCAACGCACCGCAGTTCAGATTTGACTGGTTTATCAAATCTAGAACTGCAATGGTAGGTATTAGGCACGTGGGGCTAAATCCATGTGTGATGTGTCATGTCTCATTTAAGCACAGATTTCTAAAATTTGAATGTTTGCCAAGTCATGTGTGGAGCTTAGAAAAGAAATTCTGAAAGAAAAAAATAGTTGATCCTCATTTTCATTTCCTAATTTTTACTAGAATAAACTTTTTCTTTAGTACAGCAAACAACATAATACAGCTGAAACATACAGATTAGAAAACCTGCTAGGCTGAAGTCCCATGCTACTCAAAAGAATTAATGTAGATTAATTAGCTATCCTTACAAATGTTTGCTATTTTTATTTTCAATTAAAAATTTGGCCAGTGAATATATTTTAACATGAGCGTTTTTCAAAATTGTTTGACAGTTTTCAATGATGAAGATCCCTGAAATATTGGAGGGAAGAATAGCTTTAGTATTTAAATTTTAAAAACATAAGGAAATCTACAGGGATTCATTTACAAGTTGGTCATTGGAGGAATTGGATTAAAATGCACTTTTTAATTATGAATAAGGTTTATCATATGCAAGGGCTTTATTTTTTTTTTCTGGAACATTAGCTCATACTTAGAAAATATAATAAAAAATTGATAAAGAGAGCAAGTAGATCAATACTCTGCATTTCAGCTGTATTTTTCATCTCTTTCTGGAGAGCAGAAGCATTTTATTTGAATTTATACATTAAGTGAGAAGTGTCAATACTATCAGAAACTTTAGCTGCAAATAGTAAGATGTGTAGGTACCAGCTTGAGAATAAGAGACTATTTTGATGACCTTGTTAGCTCAGCTCTGGGATCTCTGATCAGATCTTCCTTGATTCAGTTCCCCTTTTTTCTTTTGTCTGAAAAAAACTTATACATTCGTGCACCTTGCGTTAAGGACAAGCACACAGGCATGCACAGACACATGCATATTCACATAGACATATTTATATAGGGGGGAAAAACACTTTGGTTTTTTATACATGAAATAAATTCCTCTTACTTGTAATGAGTGTGAGCTGGAATAATTTTTGTGTGTGTTTGAATACAAAATGCTCTTGAGGATAGCTGATGCAAAAGAATAGAGCACTTTGTGTCCCTTATGCAACTGTCCTAGATTTTCCCCATTGCCTTATAAGCAAATTACTAGTTAACTGCTGTATTGCGTTTGTGTCACTTAAATGTCATTTTCTTTACAAACCTGGATTTTTTAATAACACTCCAGTAGCTGCAGAAACATTGTGTATTATTCTTCGTTCCTTTGTTCATTCATCAACATAAGGATTTGTTTATAAAATGTTCTGAGATGTGCGTACTTGTACAAAGAATAAATAATACATAAGATAAAATATTTAGAGTGTTTATTTGAACAGGTGGGAATATTTTCTTTCCCAGTGTTACTTAGGTTTATGCAGTATGATTTCTACTTCATACTCCAGCAATTGGAGTATTTCTGGATAGTTCAGCAGTTACTCCTCAATGAGAGTTACAGATTTTGTTTCTCTAAATGCCGGTTTTGTAAGAAATACTGGATTCTAAAACTATGAGAAAGCACTCCAATATTTAATCTGTGACTAACTTGCTTTTAAACTGTGGAGGAATCCTTTCAAGTGAATCATAAAAACGGATACTAAAAAATAAAAACACATATCAATATTGAACATTAGATGACATATGTAGATCAGAGTTGATTCTTCTGTTACTGTGCGAATCTTGCAAATCCTTATGTTCAGTAAAAAAGTAGTAGTGTGAAAATACAGAGAGAACATAGATAATGGGTAAAGCAATCTTTTATTTCCAGCATGCATTAAATATTGTTTTAAAATGTCATAGTATGATTAGGTAGATTTAAATGTCAATTATGGATTGCATATTCTATGCCTACAAGTATCCTGACATCTACGGAAATATTAATTTCTACATGAGTCCAATTTGCTTTAGCTTTATCATATCTTTTCTGGAGAAACTTACTGAAAAATTGTTTGATACCAAGAATAATTAAGGCAGTATAAATATATATGCTTATAAAGGAGCAAATAATATGTTTAGTGGAAGTAGATAAAAGAGCCGCCTTAGAACACTTGAATCACATGCAATTTCCAATCACTATTTATTGCATTCAAACTTTTATCAAACAACATAGAAAGGGACTTGTTATCAAGCTCTCCAAGAAAGCTGTATTTTGCTAACCACTAGATGTCTCTTGAACTCCATGTAAATAGCTAATTTATCTACCATCTTGTTTCTGTTGTTTTTCTCCAAAAAATAGGATTCATTTCTTTATTCAAAAAACAGATTGTTTACTGCAAAATATAAATTGTTAAAGAGATTCTGAGTACCTAATTTTTTTTATGTGTGTATATTTATTTAATGGGCACTGAGACCTAAGTGCTGAAGTTTAGCGGTTACTGTTCTTTTATTTCTGTTCATTGAGGAGGAATGAATAATAGTATGGCAGTATTGAATTGTATATTAGTTTTCTGAAGTTGTAGTGTACACATTCTCTTTACCTTTCTGCAAACCCTACCCCAGTTGAGAAGAAATGGCTGCTTTGTATATACAAGAATGTGCACTCCTGTTTACCCAGCTTCACACTGAGTATTTCTTTCACTCTCAAGTCAGCTTCTCTGCCTTCAGTCATGCAGAAGGAGATGGTTCAGTGCTCCCATCTTATTTATTGCAGTGCTAGTCTTTATAGCTATGAAGTGGGGAGCAAAATACATCTTATCTCTTTCCATCCCAGAGAGAGAACTATTAGGCTGCACTGAAGGAAAAGTCAAATCTAAAGATGCAAGGTTTTAAACTGCCAAGTGTATTTTTGTAGCACCAAAATGAGATGGAGTAGTCCATGTTGAAGTTTTGGTAGTTCAAGACAGAATTTATCATGTAGATTCTTATTCTCTATGATAATGAGTATGGCAGAAAACAAAATGCATGTCAGATTTGCCTGTCCACTGTTTCTGGGATTCTCCTAAGAAAATTGCTTTTTTGAGTTCTCTGACCACAGCATGTTGTGCTGGAATAGTTGTGCTGGACATCTAGATAGACCAGGGATGAACCTTTGCATTTTGCTGTTATACATATGTGTTTATGTAAATAATTTGCCCAAGGAAATAAGGTGATCTTTCTTAGTGCCGCGGGGTATTTGCTATCTCCTCTCTATTTGTCTTGAGTTTAACATAGACCAATATTAAAAAAGATCTAGTTTATTGTCATTATAGCACAGATTATCATCAATCTTTCCCTACACTTCTTGTGTTCTTCAGTGCAAGACAGTCCTGAGAATGCCTTGTCAGGAAGCTGAAGTATTTCAGTACAGGTTGTATTTTTACTCTAGTTAGAGAAATGGTTAAAATGAGGGGTTTTAAAATATTATCAAGATGTACAATAGTTAAGTTAGTTATATTAGTACATGGATGTTGAACACTTTTCAGGGGAGAAAAACATATTTTGAAATCCAAAAGTTTTAAATCTGTTAATATAAATAAGAGACTATGTATGCTTTATTCTTTGCTAGAGATTTGATGATTTCTATTTCTTTAGGAGTTTCAGAGACGCTGCAATACACTCATATCATTAATTGAAAAAGAAAATATGGAAATTGAAGAAAAGGAAAGGGCTGAGAAGAAGAAGAGAGGAGCGAAAGTTCCAGCAGTATGTTTTAACAGCATTTATTTCCCTTTTTGTTGGGCAGAGTTCAATTATGTTTTCTTTTCAAAAGTGAAAAATAGGAAAATTTTAGCTACCGATTGTTCTAGTATAAGCCATTAGCTGAGAGACTAAATTCAAATGTGTGGCTTGTAGGTAGGAATACCTGATTTTGCCGGATTTTAGAGTCTGTTTATTCGAGAAGAGAGAGTTTTATGTAAATAGCGTTGAGGGACTCTACTTAAGAAAGCATATGGATCTACAGTTCTTCTACCTGGATGTTTCTGTGATACTCTGGATATGTCTTCAATCTCACATTACTATTCCTCCATTATGTAGTAGTCCCTGGAGGAAGAAAGAGGTTCTTCTTTCTTTAATTAATTACCATCTTTAGAATAACAGTAAACAAAACAAGGTCCTGATCTTTTCATCCAATTGAGTTTTATGGTGCCTGTGGTATTAAGAACATATAATGCAGGATCTGAAGAAAAGGAAGAGTGCCAGAATTGAGTGTTTCGGTGAGGATTTTTGTTTGTCCTTCCCTTACATACTACAAAGCTGAATTAAAGTCTGTAATGTATTAGGGTCATTTACTTTCATTTTGATTGGTTAGTCATGTATTTCAGAACTTGAATATGATGTGTAATACCACCATTTGATTGAGTTTATGAATTTTATTTATCTATTTATTTATTTTTTAGTCACAGAAGAGAAAAGCAGATTTGGCCGCTGAGAACTCTGGAAAAAAAGATGCTAAGAAAGTGAAGTCATGAACGCGAAAACTGAATGCCAGATATAAATACTGCCACTTCTGTCCATCTACAAGTATTAATTGCCAACTTCTTTGTATTCATGGTACTCTCCCCAAAATCCCATGGTCAATTTTGCAAGTTTTGTATATTTTAAAATGGCTTTGTTTACTTAATGTGTGGCTTTATATTTTCTGCATTCCAGTATTTGTGTACTGTATTTTGTGAATTTCATGTCTTCAGCAAAATTCACTCAGTCCTTCTTTTTTTTGAAGCTTGTGCTGAGGTTTTAGCTTTTATATCTTTTATATGCTGCTGCTTTGAAAGAAAATCTAGATTCTATAGCTGTATTATTGTTGTTTCGTATTTTAAATTTATATGGCTGTGGGAAAATAAATTGAATTAAAATTATTTGAGGAGAAAAATATTTCAACTTTGTTTCCCTCTTCCCCTCTGCTCCATTTTCTGTGTAGCTTTGCTTTAGTGTGTGTTAAGGTTTGTATAATTGTGCCTTCATCATCGATCAGATTTCTCTTCAGAAGAGTTCAGAGATAGGATCAGGAGCATGACAGAATAAAAAAGTCTAATTAGACTGACGTTTGTGTTTGCTGTCAGATACAAATTGACATTTTTTTCTAAAATTATTCAGATGAAAGGCGGCAGATACTTGCCTGTACTTTTTCTTTATTGGCATTGGGTTGTGCTGGATTATATGTATGCTTAAAGACAGGCTGAAGTGTTATTCTAAAATACTTCTAGAAGAGATCACTTTTGAGGGGGGAATTTTTGGTTTTTAATATTACAAGGCATAATTAACTGATTTTTAATAAATGTAACAAGCTAAAGTATTCCCCTAGCAGCTGCTATTTTTTAATTTTTAAAGTAACAGATGAATTCATTGGCTGGTTAGCAAGCTGCTCAGCTATGCTGCCTTGTCCTGGAAGATCTTGGTTGCTTAAATTCTCTCTGTCTGTTTTTACATTTGATTCAACACATCAGTCGGAAGCAATGGGGATATCTTATGGAGTGCTCCTTTTCAGTTTTTCTATTTTAATGAGCGGATGGAAGTGTTGGATGTATCTTATTTTGACTTTGCAGGAGTGGCCTTATATGAAGCGGTTCATAGTTTCTGGTCACCTTGGAGTCTCTGCCTTTCCCAGATCAGTGGAACAGCGACTGTGGCATCTAATGTTTTACTTTAATCCTCTGCCTCTGATCTGGTGTTTAGTGCAGACCTTGCTAGAGCATCCAGACCCTCGTCTGGCCCTCGTAGGGGTCAGACTCACGTCTAGACCCTCGTAAGGTCAGGTCTAGATGAATGCAGCGCGCTTTTCCACGGCATCGCCCTGAGGAACGCTTGTGCACTCCTCCTAGTGCAGCCTGCCTCCTTCCTCGGTGTTTGGGAGGATAAAACACCTCATTTCGTGGTTTGCATTGCCTACCTGCTGCTTTATTTGTAGCATTTGTAAGAAGAGCTTTGGAAAGCTCTTAAGCTTTAGGACAGAGTTCTCTCCATGTGCTTTTGTGGCAATTTTAGTATATTGAAATGTCTTCTATGTTTTCTTGGATTAATTAAGCTTAAAGATGAGTAATTTCCAGGCTTTCTTGGTGGTCTGAGTTTAAGGTTTGAGGGAAAATGTGAGTAGTTTTAAGTCATCTTTTTGCAAGATGACTAATTTGATATTTGTATTTGAAGCTTTCATTTGGGAACCAAGTTACTAATTATTTGTACTGGGATTTTTATTTGCAATACTCATAATTTAAAAAAGATTTTCATCTAGAGAGCTGAGACTATTAGATGTAATGATTAGGGACAACTTTCAGATGAAGGTTACTGATGGGTATCAATATATACTTTAAAATAACTATGTAACCCAGAGGGATACGTGCACTCAAAAAAAGGAGGCTGTCTTTTCAAATAGTGTTTTTGATATCAGAGTGGTTGACATCCTCTTTTATCCTTGGGGGAAGGAGATCTAGTGTAATTATGCAGGCTGGGAAAAGGCTGCATAGCGACAGACAAATAATCAGAAATCCTGGAGCTTTTAACAGAGAGCCAAAGATGCGTTATTTACTTTTGCTTTGCAGCTCCCATGTCATTCAATAACTTTATAGCCTGAACTTAGGAAACAGGCAGAAAGAAGGAAATAAAGACAGGAAGAGCCAATTGCATTTCTGTCAAATTGCATGGCTACATCTAGGTCTTATTGCATTGCTCTTTTTTAGCATAATTGAGTCAATATTTTAATGCTGTCTCGAAATAAGTGTATTTTTTCTTGTTTATTGCAAATTGTTTCACTTGCATGTTCCTTTGTACCCAGTTTCTCTGTGTATTATTATTTGCAAAGCATATTGGAAATGCTAGAATGGTCACAGCTCAGCTTGTCCTTTCACGCAGATTTCCAGATTTCACTTGCCATTTGAGGTGCTGCTCCCTTTTCTCCTCCCTCAGTGACATGATATACTAGCTGTAGAGCAAAAGATCATGCAGTTGTTCTTTGAGATACTATCCTCTTGATCAGACAGCTTCTCTGAAGAATGATAGATGCTCCCAGGAACTATTTGTTCTCTCTATAGTCTGTAGTTTCTGGTTAAACTAAATGTGCTGTTGAACAACAGTCCTTGAGTGCACTTGTGTACTATACTAGTTCCTCAGCATAGTGAATCTGCCCATCCATCACATTGCACAGTGATAAGAAAATTACAACAGCTGCTGGTCAGGATTAAAGTAAAACTGATCCTTCTTTTCCTTTCTCTTTCTCGTAGTTGAAGAAGTGCATGTGTGCCTGGTCGTGTTTAAATGATACGCTGCTGTGACTCAAAATTAGACAAACTGAAATAAAGACACCTTACTACTTTTTAATTACTATTTTCTTAGGTAAAGGATGCTGTTAGTTAGGGATTGGCAGGCATTGAATGTAACGTGGCACCAAGAACTTTGGAAAATTTGGGCCTTTAGACAACTGAATGGGTGCCAAGCAAATTGTATGATCTGGTGATCACAGAAAGTTGGGAGATAATTTCAGGTCTGGAATTGCATTGTGTTAGTTTAGCCTCAGGGCTGAAGGAAGCAGAAGTGCAGCAGCCCCGCAGCACCATCACAGATGAGGCCAAGTCCAAACACCGCGGCTGGAGAGGCTGCGCGGCCCTTGGGCCCTTTTCCCTCATGCACAGTCACTGCTTTCAAATGATGAATCCTTTATTTCTGAGCTGGATTTGATGTTTGCAATGATGCTGATAAAGTCACACAGCTGACCATCCTCATTATTTTGTTTGATTTCAATTTATTATAATGACATAGAGAAGAAATGAAGCGTTCTCTTCTTGCTGGTCTTGCAAAAGTAGTACTTGCTGTACTAAAATGTCAGTTAAGAATTTGTTCTTGTAAATGAGCTTTGCTTGTATGATTTAGTGATAATGCTGATTATGATTTTTTTAATTCCTTTTTTTTCTCTTAGGGTTCCTAAGCAAGGGGAACAGTAGATGAAAATCAATCCCAACCTTTCTAAGTACCTGATAGAGGTAACTGGTGCTGCACCGTTCCTGCAGCTCCCTCGGGTCCTGCAAGGACCTGCAGGGTCCATGGACACTCTCTGTGTCCACCTCCTGCCCCCAGGCACTGGGAAGATTAAAGATTGATCATGAAGGAATTGGAAGGAATCCCAAAACTTAAAGTGGGTTGGCCTCAGAGGTTGGAAAAGCACATGGGACAGCAGAAGTGCTTATGGAAATGGAAATGACAGGAGTCTGGTGCAGACACCAAAAGAATTGAGTGCTTGAGTCTGAGCTGGGTGGGATACTGGAGGCAGGCAGTAACGTTTTGTGAGAGTTTGCACCATGTACTTAGCTTCAAGCATGCATGTAAATACTTTGTTGGTTTGCATATTTTAAGTGTAATGTATTCCCTTTTAATTGCATTTGCATGATGGTCCATCCTTTCATACTCGCCTTAAGAGTAATATTTGCTGCCTCAGCTGTATCTGCATAGTGTTGTTGAAGGATAACTTCTGAACTTTTTCAAATTCAGAATTGCTTCTTTAGTTATACTTATATGAAAAGAAAAATTAATACGAACCTTAAAGCCACAGTTGTGGTACAGACTGCCCCATGCACTTGAAATCAAGCGATCTTTTGAACAGCATTAGTTTGGTTGCTCTTGTTGACTTTCCGGCTGTTGTAGCTGACCATTATTGGGGGAATAGATGAGGCTGCCCCTCATCTGCTTTCGATCTTTCCTATTTCCTGTAATCTAAAATAAAATGCTAGTAGTGCCTGTATTTTTGTGACAGCCTTATTTGTGTTGTCTCTTTGTATGATATATTAATACAATGTATGTTGATGCTATATTAAAGTATATTACTGTTTTTATGTTACTCTGTGCCTGTGGTGTGTTCCTGAAGGGAAGGGGATGCTGTTGGGAGCAGGCGTTTCCCCCGGGCCTGGCCGGCTACGCCACGCTGGCTCTGCTCGGAGACGTGTGCGTTCTAAAGCCATGCTCAATTCCCCCTGGTTCCTGCTTTAAAATAAGGAGGGACGACTGGAGACAGCCCTGCTCGTAGCTTTGCCCATAAGGAGCCGTGCGTTCCTGTCCAGGTGAGGCCCGCGGAGCTGGGAACACAGCATCACCTCTGCCCGCGCTTACAAGGCAAAACGATTCTTGATGTTCAGAACAAGAATGAAACAAATGATTTCAGCATTTCTTTATAGCTTCTGGAGTTAGATGCCTCTCATATCATTTATATTTACCTTACAAGGTGATTTGGCGAAGCTCTGCAATGCACCTTACGCTCACATTATTTGAATGCACTGTGGAAAAGGTGCAAGAAATTTCTTATGTTTAAATATCAAGCCTGCAGACTCAACAATTTTTTTTATATTCAAAAGAAATTTAATTTTAGCTTTTTGTGATACTCATTGATAATTAACCGCTATGTGTGCCCTAGCTTATTATTCTACAGGCTTGAAGATTTTCTGCTGGAAACAAAAGGAAAATCAATTCCAGCAAATTCAGTTGTTGCCTTTTTATTAGGTTACGGCACTCGATGTAAATTCTGTTTTGAATTTATGTTGGCGATCAATAGGCGCAATTATTGATCCGGGACATACGAGGTAAGAAGTGAGCAAGTCTTTGACTTTGTTTTGATAGCATGAAAACACATCAAAAAGTTTATTGAGCTGCGAGTTGTGCAGCAGCGCGGCCCGGGGCAGGAGCTCGAGCTGCCGGGGTGTGGAGCATTGGGAGCTGCTGGGCTTTCCTTCGCTGCCCGGTTGGGTTTTGGCTTAACCAGCTCCAGGACCTTCCTTTGAGGGTGGTGGTTATGGACCACTAGCAATTGAATTTGAATACAGCAGAAAACGAGAGCAGTTGATCGAGGGCATAGCCCTCGATCCAAGGGAGGCAGAGCCCAGCTGGCAGGACACCCATTGCAATAAGGGACCAGACAAGATGGGCAGTTCTGCGGGTTGGGGACCACGGTCCTGCTGGAGACGGGAGGTTCCACGTCCATCCAGCAGCAGCCACGGCAGGTACCAGGAGCAGCTCCTGGGCAAAGGGCGCAGTTGGTGCCCCTGTCCCAGACAGAAGTAGATGGAGGTGCCGTAGCCAAGAGCCACTGGCAGCAAATGGCAAAGCGAGCAAAATGATCCATCCAAATGTTGAGCTCGGTAGAGGTCTCGCCTGGTTAAACTAGGCTGCAGGCATGTCTCTAAGGGTGACTATAGCCTCAAAATGGAAAAATGAAGGCAGTTGATTATTCTAGTAACTAATGCGGCTAACTGTTCCCCTAAAGGCCATCTAGGAGAAAAGAACTCATTACATTTTGCTTTATAACATGATTTTCATGTATATAAATGTATATTTTTTAAAAAGTATGTGTTACAGGTAAATTTTCATATACAAATATAGGTAAATTTTATGCCTATAAAGTATTATAGGTATTACAGGTAAATTTTTATATATAAATATAACTAAAAACTAAATATCTATATTTAGTATGTAATATGCATATTTAAAATAAAATTATATTGTATAACTTCCATATCTTCTGAGAGTGCTGCGGGCCCAACTGGGCACAGGTCACGGCAAAGAGGGAGCTGGAAAAGCCTCTTTTCACTTCAGCCTTACAGCCAAACCTTAGGCCAATGACTTGAGGGTGAGAAATCTCACCTGCTCGTGACATTTTTCCCTTGTTGGGTTTAACTTTTCAGTGGGAATTAGAGTTTCACCAATTTAACAAAGCCTGAGTAAATAACTCATCACTTCTTATAAAAAAGAGATTAAGAAATCTGCAGTGAAGAACAGATAAATGACACTCATAGAGGAAACGCTGCTGCAAATAATAGGAAAATTGCAGATGTATTTTATACCT